TCAAAATATAATGTAGTTTCAACTGAGTATTTAAAGAAGGAATTATTTCTTGATGGAGAACTATGTAACAGTTCTCATCCCATTTTCTGTTCAGTAGAAGTGTTGATATTATTTGTTGTTCTAGATGTTAACATTGGCTCTAAACCCCTGAAAAGTTGTTTTTTTTTTAAATTTCTTCCAAGAAGCGCTGATTGTGTGATTCTGTGTGGGAAAGTGTCTGCATATTTCAGAATCTCAGACAGTGCCCACAATTCTAAAAAAAATAAATGGAGTGTGAGTTCACAAATCCCCTGTGTTACTGAGTTAATTTTCTCTCTTATGAAACAGCAATCTCCTCTTTTTCATTTTTCTCTGTGAATTAATAGTTTCTCACACTGTCACATTTGATCATACTTTTCACATGCTTGATGTCTTGCAGGCCACTAAATAAATAAACACGCATTAGTAATTCCTGGATAGTTTGAAGCATGTTAGTGGCTAAGTAAGACCGGATAACACCTCACCCTCCCCATCTGAACCAGTGGTGTGAGTTAAACAAAGTAATTCAAAGTTTGTATTGGAGATTCACCCATTACATATGACACAGCCAATTCCACATTTCAGAAGACTGACACTAAACCCAAATATTGAAATGTGGCATTCAACCTAATCTAGAATCAAGGGCTGTAATTATGGCTCTTCTATAGTAAAATAAACAGTGACTTTCATCCAGAACTTCTTACTCTTTTGTATTGCTAATTGCTGTCAACAAGATTGAAATTTCTTTTCTAGTAGGGGTGAAATGACTAAAGTAAATCATTGGTATTTTAAAAAACATGGAGAGTTTTGAGCAAGATTTCCAATAAATGAATAATTAGAAAAGAAAGAACGTGCAATTTAAGAAAACTGAATTGAATTAAAACATAATAAATGAAAGATTAAAACTCCCAGAGAATTGTCGCAAATCATAATTTCTCTTGTTAAATGACTAACCTCTAAATTTTTAGGAAGGTAACTCTGTCTACATAGTTTGAATGCAAAACAGAAATTACAAAGCCTAACCATTCTTTCTCTGTGCAGAGATTAGTTCATTCTTTCATGCTGAAATAAACTGTGTTTCAAAGGCAGTTCCAGAGGAACAGATTATAATCTGAATACACCCCATCCTGTCTGAATCTGAATTTTCTTTTTCTTCTTTTTCTTTTTCTTTTTCTTTTTCTTTTTCTTTTTCTTTTTCTT